AAAGGTCACTCCTGAGATGGGGGTTTGCTAATTGATATTTGATTTCGTGAATCATGCCGCCGTTGAAAGCGCCTTTATTCATATATATACGAAACCCCTACTGTATTATTATTATTATTATTTTTTTGAACATTCATGAGAACCCCACTGTATTTTTTGACCACTGTATTACGTGATATTTTTATATTATTATTTCTAGTTTGCCTGATATTAATCATTCTTTTATTATCAACAAAAAATTAACTACTTCCTAAACGTAAGGATACTCCAACTCATCAACATAAATATTGCAAAATTCACAAACCGAAGTAGCTCAAAACTAAAATTTCCTAGTAATTAATGAAAATTTTCTTTCCCGTAAAAAAAAAAAAATATTTGCTACTAATAACATATGGACTTGACGGAGAAGAAATCACGCGCGTCGAATGGATCAGAGAAGGTTAGGTTCTTCTATAAACTATTGTAGCGAAAATTGATTATTGTTGCAATACAGTTCGAACTATATGGCTTGAGATAATATTTATTAATTTGAAAATTTTAATTTCAGATAAGAAATAAAAATTCAAATTCTTATAATACTAAACATTTTACTTTTGATGTACATAATATATATATATATATATATACACACAATATATTTCACCAAAATGAGACCCCAACTCATAGTGTTCAACCAAGCACCAATCATTAGGAAAAACCAGAATTACGTGTACCTTCTCTGTCGAAGCTGTATGAAAGATCTCATTTGGATCAAATGATTCAAATCAAAGTACCAAAACACGAATAATACTAGTATTGTTTAATTTGATTTGAATTGATTTGGTTACCATCCAGCACACAAAATTGCTCATTTAAGCGTCCACGTAATTAACAATAATTACGCCTCTCTACTTTGAATATATAATAATACTACAAGCGACAAAAGATCGAAGGGAAAAAAAATCAAGATGTTTCTTTAACTTACATTGTTGGACATTTATAGTATTTGGGCAAAGAATTTGTGCAATAGTGATGCTCCTTTTCTTGTTTATTTATTTATTTATTTTTTAAAAGGCAGTTGCTCCTTTCTTGTGGATTTGATAAAATTATTTCATACATAGGTTATTAATGATGCAGATCATATTGTTCAAATTTTTTAACTAAATCTTACAATGAAGATATTATAGTAATTTATGGGTGTTTTTGATTAAAGGCCAACTTTCACATGAAAGTTAATTTGAAAAAGTAATTAGTTAAAATACTCTACGAAAATTTAAAGAGTATTATATAAAAAGTTGTTAAGTTTTATAATAAAATTTTATTAAAATTTTGTTGGGTTGTTAATTTTATTGTATTTGATAAGAAATTAACTTAAAGAAAGCATATGGAAAGTTGTTAAACAAGTCTCATATAGAGAAAGTTTTAAGAAATTTTTTTTTTTAAAAAAAAGTGAGAATAGAAGTTTACAGATTAAGAATTGTATTAAAAAAAATAAAGGTTTTAAAAAACTATTTTTGCCTTTTATTTATTATAATTTTATGGTGTATAAATATCAATATACCATTATAAAATCTTGGAGGGGACATTTTGCCAGTAAGGTAAACCAAAAATATTTATTGCACTTTTAATTAAATTGGTTAGAGAAATAAATGATTTACTCCCTTTTATCTTAAAATAACTATTCTTAAATTAATTGTCATTTTTTTTTATTTTGTAAGGTGGGTAAATAATTTTTTAATTAACCATATCGATACTGCCTGTTTATTTTAATAAACCATCTTATAAAAAATTACTTTATCTTTTAATTTTTTTTAAAAATAATATAAATAAATATATGAATTTCGAAAAGAGTGATGATATAGGACCGATAAGTCCCAAGCTAAATTGGAACCTATGATCCCTATAGCTTTTTCACTTTTAAATTTTAGTTCTAGTAATTTTTTATTTTCAACTTTAGGTCTTATGAAATTTATGTTTTATTTTTAATTTAAATAATAATATCATTTCTAAATCATTATATTTTAAATTTAAAACTTTTAAACCCTATCATTAATTCAATATAGATCTTAAAATCTAAATTATAAACCTTAAACCCTAATCTTAAAATCTTGAATACTAAACCCTAAAATTTCAATATTATAAAAGCAAAGTAGAAGAGAGCATTATGAAGATGGGTTTTTTTAACTAGTGTTATAAGAGTATAGATGGGTTCATATTAATGATGTAATTATTATATTTTTATATTAATTAATATTGCAAAATATAAAAAAA